TTGTTTCAGTTCTTGATGATAGTCATTGTTTATGGAGTGAAATTAAATCTCAACACTGTTTTTAAAGTTTGCATTTCTCGGGCGGGGGATTTAGCTCTGTGGCATAAGTGCCTATCTGGCAAGTGCAAGTCATGAGTTTGAGTCCCTGTATGAAAAAAAAAAATACTTGCAAAGTTTGCATTTCTCTGATGGCCAGAGATGCCAGAGATGTTGAACAACTTTTCTTGTATCTATTGGCCATTTGTACTTCCTCTGACAGGTCTCTATTCATTTCGGTAACCTATTTTTAATTGGATCATTTGTTTTGGAGGGAGTTTTTTGGAGTTCTTTATACATTCTACATATTAATCCTCTGTCTGAAATATAGCTCACAATTGTTCCTCCATTATGTAGGTTATTCCTTCACTATCAGTTGTTTCCTTTGCTGTGCAGAAACGTTTTAGTTTGATCTAATCCTGTTTATTAATTCTTGATGTTATTTCTGGTATAATTGTTGTTCTCTTTAGAAAATCCTTATTTTTGCCTATACTTTTAAGAGTTTTATCTATTTTATCTTCCAGAAGATTAAATGTTTGTGTTTTAGTATTTAAATCTTTGATGCGTTTTGATTTTAGTTTAGTCTATTGTTGTTATGGTTTGTGTCTAGATGCCCCCTCACCCCAAAGCCTCATGCGGTCATGGGAGGTGCGCTTTTCAAATGTGGCAGAATCTAGATTGATTCATGGTTCAGTGCTGGGATTAAGTGTGTGAATGCTGTACCCTCTCTAGATCACGTTGCCTGCATACAGTGAAACAGAAAGAGGCTTCTCTCTCTCTCTCTCACCCTCTCTTGTTGCTTTTGCTGTTTGCCACCACCATGAATTGCTCCTCTGCTGTGTGCCACTGTGCTTTGGAGTCAGCAGATTATGGGCTGAAATCTCTATAAACTGTGAGCTAAATAAATCTTTCTCCCTTTAACTTTGGATATTATGTATTTAGTCTCAGCAATGAGAATAAAAACTAAAACAATAGTGAATGACAGGTTTAAATTCAACCATTTGAATGTGTGTAACCGGATTTCCTAGCACCATTTGTTTGAGAGACTGTGATTTCTCTAATACACAGTTTGGCTTCTTTGTCAAAGATGAATGTTCCTGGGTTTGTTTCTGCATCCTCCATGCTGATACACTAATCTGCACATCTGTTGTTGTGCTACTACCATGCTTTATTATTTTTTTTAAATCACTACTTTGTAATATAACTTATGGGATCCACAATGATGGCATCTTCTGCTTTATTCTTGGTGCCCAGATTACTTTTACTATTCTGAGTCTTTTCAGGTTCCATATAATTTTAGGATTGTTTTTTCTATTTCTAAAAAGAATGCTATTAATATTTTGATAGACAATGCATTAAAATGCATTAAAATATATAAAATAATATATATTTCAGTGTGTATCTCTATCAGATAACGATTTCCTTTTTAAAATGCATTAAATGTTCCATTTTTGGTGGTATGGCTGTTTTGACAATATCCAGTCTATCTATCCAGGAACAGGGATATCTTTCCATTTTCTGCTGTCTTGGTTTCCTTTATTTACAGTACTATAGTTTTCATTGTAGGGCCTTTTACTTCCTTGATCAGGTTAATTCCTAAGTATTTAATTTTTCTTGATGCTACTATGAATGATATCATTTTCCTAATTACTTTTTTGGTAGGTTTATTACTTTTGTATAGGAATGCTATATATTATTGTGTGTTGATTTGGTACCCTGCTACATTGCTGTATTTGGCTATTAATTCTAGGAATCTGTTGGGGGAATTTTTGGGGTTTTCTGTGGAAAGGATAATGTCATCTGCAAATAATGGCAATTTGACTTCTTCCCTTCCTATATGTATCCCTTTTATTTATTTTTTCTCCTGCCCAATTGCTCTGGCCTAATGTTTTGAGTACTATATTCAACAGTCATGGTGATAAAGGACATCTTTGCCTTGTTCTTGATTTTAGAGAATAAGCTTTCAACTTTTGCCAGTTTAATATGATGGTGGGCGGCAGTAGTTCGTCATGAACAATGTATAGTTGGATCTGTTCATGATGTGATAGCCAGTGGGAATTCTCTCTCTGAAACACTGTCACCAGATCTAACTCTATCTGTTAAACTGAATAGAATTTATTTAGAAATAATATAAAATTACACATTATATAATTCAATATAATTATGTATATATATACATATATAAGAACTAATATAAGTTCTTGAAAGAAATGAATTTAGTTTATTTTCAGCCTGAACTTTAGGTATATTACATTACTTCAAAATTTTGAAATAAATGCCCCTATTATGAAAAATTTCAAATACACCCCATTTTAAAATTATTACTATAATGATTCTCCCTATAAATATCATCCATCCTCTGCTTAGTTGGCCAAAGTCTATCATTGTGTTTCATCCTTTTCCTTAATTTTGCTAGTCTTTCGGAGCAAGTGGCAGATGTTATACATTTCACTCATAATATATATTTCAGTGTGTATCTCTATCAGATAACGATTTCCTTTTTAAAAAAATTGTAATCACAAATCATTATCACAATGAACAAAATTAAAAATAATTTCTTAAAAGGTTCTAATGCTAATCTGTGTTTAGTTTTCCATGGATTATATATATTAAAAGTCTTTTTTGTTTTGTTTTGTTTTTGGGGTTTGAACTCACAACCTCACACCCGCAAGGCAGGTGCTTAGGCCCCTGAGCTAAATCCCCAGCAGTCTTTTTATTTTTAAAAAATATTTTATTTGTTAATTTGTTTACTCGTTAAATATTTTACAGTGCATAATTACATTCTTCATGTGCAGTTGGTACATGTACACCACACATCCTAATTCTGTTTTCACCTCCTTCCCCATCCTCCCTTTCCTCTTCTACAACTGTATGTTCCTTTGAATAGTTACTTTGTTGGAATAAAAATCCAAACATAGTGCACAAACTATGTTTGTTGGGCTCTCTGTGCTGTTTCTTAATATGTAATAATTTTGCTGTTGTCTCCGTACCATTTACTTCTTGAAGAACTTTAAAGTCAACACATAGGCACACAGACAGAAACACACAGGCACACTCACACACACACACACACACACACACACAAACAGACACAGATACGCACATGTAAATGTGAATCTGTGGCTCTCTTGGAAAAAAACGGCACATCTGGAATATCTGGCAGCATTGGCTTACATTCCTAAAAGGCAGCATTGTCTGGACCTGAGTAGAGGCTGAAGCTTTTAGCCCCTCCAAGTGCCTCCATAGACCACATTAGTTCCTGTTATACTGACCAACTTAACCCAGTTGTGTTGCCTTCCAGTCCCCACTGGCTTTGAGCTGGGTACCTCTGATACGTATCTGCTACGGTATTAGCCAATGAGAACTGAATCCTGAAAGCTGACCTGGAAATCCTAAAACGTTCCTCATCATTAAGTAACTATTTGTTTTTGTACAATATATTACTTAGATAGGAGCATAAGCTAAAATGTTTAAAAAATTTTCAGCAAAGAATCGAATCAATGAAAGACTTTAAAAAGTTCCAAATTAACCTGAAACTTCAAAGATTGACATCTCTCTTTTTTTGGCCATTCCAGTTAATCTGCTTTATTGTTTTCCAATTTGTAAATATTTTTGCTACCTGTGCAGTGGGTTGATTGTTATAAAGGCCAGGGGACATGGGGCCTTCAGATCCAGACTTGAGCCCTACTCTTTTTTCTTATATATATATTTTTTTATTTTAAAGAGAATATAAATAAGCAAAGTAAAACAATAGAACCACTAAAAAAACATTGTAAGTGATACAGGATTTCAAAACAATAAGAAATCGATGGTGACTATCATAATTCCTCTTGTTGTCTTCAAAATAACTGCCCATATCATCAGACATAGAAAACCAAACAAAGCAGAAAAGAATAGAAGCAATAAAAACAAAACAGTGCAGGACTTCAAAACAAGATACTAGTAAATCCAAAATGGCTACCACAATAAATCTTATTATCTTTGAAATAGCTGCTCATGCCATCAGATATAACAAAATCAAACAAGACAAAACACAATAAAAACAAATCAAACCAAACAATAAAATGATACAGGACTTTAAAACAAGGTAATGGGGAATTAACAGTGGCTTCTATCTTCAGGAGATTCCCCCACTGCGATCCTGCATATCGTTAGCCTCTAAATAGATGCTCAGATTATGGATGTTAGGCCTGCAAGCTGGTCTCCTTTGACAAGCGGGCTATATTTTTGATTCTGTGAGTCATTCATAAACATGAAGGTAAAGCCACCCATCAGGGTTGTTGTGAAGCTCAAATAAAGTAACAGACATGGTATTAATTTGTAAATTGTATAGCATTGTGCTTGAACAAGCATATACTGAATTATGCATAACAGCTTGTTTTGTGCTTCCAAGCATTTACTGTTTGATTATCTTTCTCTTTAATGTCCTTAAAAATTAATTGGTGGTTGCCTGTGGTCTCGAAGCACTTTATGCTTATTTCTTTATAACATTTTCCACACTCTTTTAAACCCATTTATTCACATATCTGTCTTCTGGGAGATTCTAAGAGCAAACCACAATTTATCAGTGCTTGACATACAGCTGACCCTCGGTAAGTGTCTGTTGAATTGAAATTGATTGTTTTGAACAATTATCTTTGTGCCTGCCTTGAAGGACAAAGTCGACATCTATACAGTTATTTAGGTATATCCTCTGGTAACTGACCTGTTTTGTTAGAAGCTTATAATGGGATGCCAACAATGCAATATTAATGAAAAGGGAGTTCTCTATTTTTAAGTAAATGAGCAAATTTGTTGAGTAAATTATCTGTAATTTAAACTCATTAACAGTGAGACAGTATAGATGTGGCATGCTTAACATTTAAAGTACTTTTTCCTGGAGAAAACTCAAATTTCCATTCATTTTTTTGGCTGTAGTTCTCTGGTTCTTCTGATTAACTTAAGGCTTCTTGCTTTTTTTACAGCTGGTTTGCCATCCACCCAGTTAGCATGAATAACACCAATCATCTTGTAAACAGCGATAATGTGGGCTATGCAGCTTACCTTTTCGAGCAGGAGAAGAATAGAGGATATCTACCTGGCCAAGTGAGAACTGATGTCTTTGAAATTTCACTCAGGATTCACTGAGTGTCATCATTCACACAATGTTTAGAATACTTGATTCAGATTTCTAGAATAAAGTGTCAGTATGGATCACACATGTGCTTGGATAGGAAGAATTTGCCATTCTCCCTAATAGGAATTTTAAAAATGATTACTCTATCATTAGCTCTTTGTGGCAGATACTATTTTATGACTTAATAAAATTGCAATCAGTTGCATAAGGAAGAGCAAGTTTAGTATAATAGTTTTTGAGCAAGCTGAAAATACAATAAACTGTCTTGATGCTAACTTTGTTTTCAGAGATATAAATGCATTAAGAACTTTCTTATTGGTATAAAAAGCCTGAAGAGGGACAGGTGAAGAGTCTTATTGGTTCAGGCTTTCCTCTTAGTGATGAAATTACTCCCAAATATATTGTTCTATTTTCCTGTAATAAACCCTATGTCAGTCAGCATTTCATCATATAACAATACCTGAGATAAAGCAACTTAAAAGAAGAAAAGTTTTATTGTGGCTCTTGGTCTCAGTCCATGGTTGCTTGGCCCATTTACTTTGGGCTTGTGACCAGGCTGAACATCATAGTGGGAAGGTTTTGGTGGCACAGAGCTGCTCATATTATGGTGACTGGGAACAGAAAAGAGAGAAAAATCAAGAGGCCAGAGAAAATCAAGTAGGCCCATCCAATATCTTCCTTCCTCGGAAGGGACACCACCTCCTCAAGTTTCTGCTATTTCCTAGTAGTACCTTCAGATGGGCACCTAGCCTTTAACACAGGAACTGCCAGGAGGAGGCAGTTAAAATCCAGTCACAACAGAGCCTAAGATAGGGACAATCTTAATCCATCAGACTTACATTGTAAATTTGAAGCCAACTGAGTGATCAGACATAGCAGGGGCAGGAAGCCAGGCTACGCACTTGCAGAGAACTTTCTACCTCTGAGTAAATAAGTGACTATCTCTACCTGCTGATAAATTAGTGGAAAGAGGGACCCTGCTCTGCTTGATCACTGTGTGTAAGCACTGGATGTGAGAGAACACAGGATGGGATGAGAGTTCCACACACCTACAAGTATTCCATTACAAATATATTAGCCCTCCTAACATTGTCTGATTTTCTAGCTTCTTGGTTGATAAAACGCTTTCCATTTGTTCTCTGTATTTCAGGGAAAAGAGGTTCTCATTCATGCTCATTTCCTGGGTGCTAGGCACTTTCACAATATCTTTTAAGTATCAAAAGAGGCTTATGATCTGCAATGTGTCATTATCTCTTTCCCTAAGGAAAATTCAAACATTTAAGGTGCAATGGTTAGAGACTGACATCTTCCATGGCACGGAGCAGGCTGGAGAGACAGAAACAAGATCCACAGAGGGCAGGGTTGGATGGGGGATGGTATGTTTGGAACAGGAAAGGTTGAAATTGTTCTTTTCTTTTTAAGCCAGGGGACGTCTGAGTTCTGGAGAGCACACCAGAGACTAGAGTGATGAGTGATGAATTTTATAACTTGTTGTTGAGCACTGTTTCTCCTTGAAATGTTTCTTTTTGTGGAATAAATTTGAAACACACTCTGTGAAATGGCTTTGTTGATAATGAAATGTTTTCAGTGATAATATGTATATTGACCCTAGTGTGAGCCATTCAGAAACAAAAGAATACGTTCTCAGAATACTTTACATCTTTCTGTTGTTCTGAATGAGGAGTGTTTGCACTTTAAGTGAAAGGCATTATGGGACTGAAGACAGAATAAAAGACAATGGGGTGTTTCTTTTGGCAGGGACCCTTTGTGGCAGCCTTTGCATCATCAGCTCTAGGAGACGTGTCCCCCAACATTCTCGGCCCACAGTGCATCGACACGGGAGAGTCTTGTGACAATGCCAATAGCTCTTGTCCCATTGGCGGGGTAGGTTATCACATCGCGTGAAATCTTTACCTCTGCATATCATGAAAACTTCATGCTTGGATTTTTAATATTTATCATTGATTTTGCAAGTGTGCTGTCCTCAGTATACGTTGCTCTATGGGCCCCTACTACCTGCTGTTCCCTAAAGCACCTGCACAAACTCACTACATTTTGAGTAGGTGAAATTATGGTTTTCCATTTGATTAAATGTTAAGTTAAATGTGGACACTAAGTATCTATCACCAAACTTGGGCAGTCTAAAACATTTAGTTTTGTATATTGGAAGTTGCAAATTTACTCCCAAAATGGTCTGCTTGAGGCATTTCTCACTGAATAGAAACTAAGGAATATAAAACATATAAAGCAAAATTTCTTTTTTTTTTTTAAAGTTGCAAAGTATCTTGCTGTAAAAAAATCAAAGCACTGGAACAAATTGCAAAGACCTACTTACCTCCCTCTCTTCTACCTTTCTCCTTTATCAGAAGTTACTATTCTCTCATCATTTTCTGTGCCTGTTTATATACTCATAAACAAAAGTTTATGACTTATGAATGGATTTATGTCATTGGTCTATGAAATTTGCCTTAGATATCTTTATATGTATCTCTAGATCTGTTTTACAATTTTGTAAGACATAATATTTTTACATCTTTATGGAGTTCACTATGATAATTCAATAGATATATGGAATATATAATGATTAAATCAGAGTAATAAATACTTTCATCTCAAATGTTAATTTTTTTGAAATTTCATATTCTTCTAGTAATTTTTTAAATATATCATAGTTTGTTGTAACCAATGGTTACCATACTGTGCTTTAAAAAGCCAGAATGAGATAAAATTGTTCCTATTATATTTTGGTGTTCTTTATCAAAGTATTTTTTGTTTTTCCTTCTTTCTTTCCTTTCCAGTCTATAGTGGCCTCTATTCTATTCTTTTCTTCTATGAGGTCAACTTTTAATTTATATGATGAATGAGAACAGGTGCTATTTTTCTTCCATTAACATAATGACCTCTAGTTCCATTCATGTTGTTACAAATGAAAAAATCCTTTTATGGGTGAATAATCATTCCAATATATATATATATATATATATCAATCACATTTTCCTTATTAATCTAGACACTGATGGATATCTTGATTGATTTCATGTCTTATATTTTATAAATAATGCTATAACAAACATGGGAGTGCAACAATCTATGCATCCTTTGGATGCATGAAGAATAATTTTTTCTTATTGCATTTCATTCTTCCCCTCCACATAGACATTTAAACCCTTTAAATTGTCAAATTTACTAAACTTGCTCTTTTTGAAGACTCTTTCATACACTCAGCCAATAAAATATATTCACCAATGTTTTCTATTAGTGTTTTTGATTCTATTTATAGTATTTAAGTATTTGATCAATCTCAAATTGTTTGATGTACTAGTGGCACAAGCGCCTGCCTGACAAGTGCAGGGTTTGGAGTTTAATACCCAATACCAGTAAATAAATAAGGTATAGTGCCATACTCATTCCTTATTTTTTCGCAGAAGTCCCAAAGGTTGTTTCAATATGATTTTAACAGAGCTTCAGTTTATGAAGATCACAAGCAAGACTCATAGGCAAGAACGAGCAGTAGAAAGATGTACAACAAATGAAGCCTTGGTTTCTAGACAGCTTAGCCATATTAGCTACCCGTATGATCTTCTCTTTTAACCCATGCAACCTCAGTTTCCTAAGTTTTTAAAAGAAACTGTTGAAACACTTCCTTTTTTTTTTTTTTTTTTGTCTTTTTCCTTTTTATCTGTACCGGGGATCAAACTCACAACTGCCTGCTTGCAAGGCAGGCACTTATGCCGCTGAGCTAAATCCCCAGCCCTTGAAATACTTTCTAAAAGCATTCACTGATTCAGTTTGATCTTATTTATTCTAATCTTTAAATTGAGAGAATATCTAAAGAAGAAATGCTAGAATATAACCTCAAAATCTGCTTGCTTAGAATCAGTTGTAATTTCCCACTCATTAATAAAAAAATCATCATTTCACTAAGAATATGTCTTGTCTCATTTTATTTCAGCCTATGATGTGCATGGCTAAGGGTCCTGGACACGATATGCTTGACAGCACACAAATTATAGGACAGACCATGTACCAGAGAGCAAAGGTAAGCCATGGGCCCTGCTCATTTCATCTTAATTTAAAATTGTTCTTTAGGGCTGGAGATTTAGCACAGTGGCATAAGCGCCTGCCTTGCAAGTAGGTGGTTGTGAGTTCGATACCTGGTACCGATAAAAAGAAAAAAAAAAGTGTAAAATTGTTCTTTAAAGTCAACTGACATTATTCATTAAGAAGTTGATGCCTATAAAGAAGGGAGCAAGAGCTCAGGCTGCCAGGAAGTCTGGAGGACGGCAGCCTGGGAGATGCTTCAGGAACCACATAGAAACTGTCTCTGACTGATGGGTCTGACTTCTTATAGGAAGTACATTTAAAACCAAGTAACAGGAAAACATTTGATTTTGGAATGTTTAGAAAGAGAGAAGAAAACAGATTGTAGGATTTTCAATTTAGGTGGCATCAGATATGACCAGACTGATCCAAATTCTTGGAAACCTCTTAGATTTTTGCCTGTCCAGAGTCACCCGATCATTTCTGAACGTGTTCTTTGATGACAAAGCTGTGAGTTGCAGCTCTCTCAACTTTAAACCCAGTTAGCTCTTGTCTTCTATAGGCAACGAGCAGCCATCTTTACTTTAAAACAAAATGAAGCAAAACAAACAAAAGATGAGAGAATATGGACTGCAGTGTCGTCCTTAGACTATTCTTCCTCCTCCCCTCCTAGATTTTATTTTTTATTTTGCACCTGTGCTTTTTATCAGCTTCTATGGAGACAGATTTGCACGGGAAAGATAAAGAAAAGCTGGCATAGCCCTGAGAAAGATTAACTCCCTGTTTCTACAACATACTCATAGCTTGTTCTGTCTTTGCTTTCTTTCTCTATCTCTCTCTCTGCCTTTGTCTCTGCCTCTCTCCCTGTCTCTGCCTGTGTGTGCAAGCAAGTAATTTATTCCTAGAGCTCTGAAATGCTTCAGGAGCAATTAGAGATGAACAAAAGAGCCTTTAAAAACATCAGACACAAAATTGGTGGCAGCAACCACCTAACTGCTGAAGTTTCTTTCCAACCACCGTGGTGTCACCAGTGCATTATTCTAAGTTAACAGATTCTATATAGGGTATGTGCCTGTGACACACTTTGATGTTGGAAATCTGGTAACTCCCTAGGCCTGGTAGACATGGAGATTCGCCCCATATTCCAGATTCTCTTCTCAGTAAGAAGCAGTTCCCATTCTCACTAGCAGAAGCAGGCAGCAGCTGGTGCTCTGGAAAGCGCATCTTCAGAGCTCGTGTATGGTTGCAGAAAGGGCATGAGAATAGACAGGAAAGGGTTATCAGAGTGGTTGTCAGGCTGAAGCAGGATCAATAAACACAGACATTCTAGGTATATTTTGAGAAACTTTTCCTATACCATTGAAACAAGCATCAACTGGTCATATTAAAAAACAAAAGCAAAGCCACCAAAGAGGGTTAAAGGCACAATTTAAATAGCGCCTAGAGTCTTTCAAGCCACCACATAGCACCTGCCCAGTCCTGCTGGAGGACCCAAGGAGCTGCCAGGGAGAACTCAGTCCGTGTACTATCTGACCATGTGCTTGCGTTCTGGCAGGCAGCGTAGCTTGGCCCATCCCTCCCAATTTTTCATTTTCTGAATCATCTTTCAAGTGAGCCTGAGGCCTTTTGTGTAACAGCTTGTACTGCTAGCATTTTGGGGCATAGACACAAGTCACAGTGTTGGAGCCTCCAAGCCTCGGGGATGCCATTGAGTTCACTTGAGAGAACCATGCGGACGGTAGCTGTTTGCAAGTAGCTTGGAGAAACAGAAGTAGCTTGTTGCTGAGAAATGCTTTCCCAACTGGTCCTTTCTGGGTAATGCTGGTGTGTTAGTCTCAGCTGTTTTGCTCAGGTCAGTAAGCCTGTGTGGGTTTTCTAGGAACTGTATGACTCTGCCTCCCAGGAGGTGACCGGACCAGTTGCTTCCGTTCACCAGTGGGTGAACATGACAGATGTGACTGTCTGGCTCAATTCTACACACACTGTAAGTACCCCTGAGTCACTCTGATCCTGCCGCAAGGCAAAGGGCTGGGAGTGTTCTCTTATTTACTTGCCCTGTAACTTACATATTTTGCTTTGTTTTTAAAAATTTTTCCTTCAGGCAAAAACATGCAAACCAGCACTGGGCTACAGTTTTGCAGCTGGCACCATTGATGGAGTTTCAGGCCTCAACTTTACACAAGGTGAGGTATAGGCAGGTGAAATCTGTGCTTCAGGTCAGAGGCTTCAGGGCTGTCTTTCCTCTTAGCTTTGAACAAAGCCAGTATATGAACTATCTTTATTTCTAAACTCAAAGTCTAAAGGGTTTCAAGGTTTGTATATGAATGACACCCAGATTTCCCGTGGTTAAGTTTCTTTTGTAACTTAGCTTTTCACTAATTCCAATATAGTGAGAGACAAATTTGCTTTACATTTCAATATACTGATAAATTATTCCATTATTTTATTTTAAAATTATTTCTCTTAATTTAAAGGCAGTAATTATACATCTTTATGGGGTACAGTGCAATGTTTCAGTACATTTACATATTATCTAATGCTCTAATGATAATTAGACTATCCATCATCTCAAATGTTTTTCATTTCTTTGTGATCACAACATTCAAAATATGGTTTTCTGGGTGGATGGTGTGAACCTGTCATCCCAGCATTTGGAAGCTGAAGCAGGAGGACTGCTGTGTGTTTTGAGTGCATTTGAGGCTGACCTAGACTACATAGTCCAAGGCCAGCTCAAGCTACATACTGAGATCTGTCACAAAAGAAAAAATCTTGTTTTAATTTAAGTCATACAATACATACAATACATTATTGCTGACTATGATCATTCTTCTGTGAGCTAGAGCATCAGAGATGATTCTTCCAACCTGTATGTAACTTTGTACCTGTTAAATAATTTTGTTCCACCCCCCCCCCCGCCCTCTGCCACCACTGTTTTACTCTCTACTTTTGTGAGCTCCATTTTGAACAATTCTATGTGTCAGTGAAATCATCTGGCCTGTATCTTTCAGTCTCTGGGTAAACTCACTTAACATTTTGATATTCAGGTTGACCCATGTTGCCATAAATGACAGAATTTCAACCATTTACATGGCTAAATCATACTATTCCATTTTGCATACATCACATTTTATTTCTCCTTTAATCTGTTGATGGACTCTTAGATTGATTCCATATCTTGGCTATTGTATATCATGTTGCAGTGAATATGGGAGTGCAGACAATTAGTTTTAAATTGGGCTGGGACTCAGGTGGGGTTGCGGGAGTCTGAAGGGGACAATCATTCAACAATATGCACCTTCTGCAACACGCACAGGCCCTTCCCTGTGGTTATGGGATATCTCCCTGAGCCATTTACTAGAGCAGAATTCTGCAGGGAACAGGCTTTCAGAAGCTCAAAGTGCATGGCTCCAGTTATTCTTTCTTTTTATTTTTTCTCGTACTTATGATAGGGTGTTTTAGATTTTATGCTTCTATCCTGATTATCATTGTAATCATGTATAATGTAAAGGACAAAAGATGGGTACAGTTGAGAAGTGTCACATACAGGTAACATCTTGGCTTAGTTCATGCTTATATTTTGCATATATGTTTTGAAACCATTAAAACATTCAAGAAATATAGTTGTGATCTTTTTTCCTGGAAAGTGTTCACCCAATTTGGTTTAATGTTCTAAATAATAATTTCTTTTCTTAAATTATTGATAGCTAATGATAGTCAGTATATTGGAAGTGCCGTTTTTAGCTTTTAAAATAAAAGAAATGAGGAGAGCCACAGAGCAATGTAGGAAAGAAGGAAGCAGTGGGTCCCAGTTGGGCAACATATCCATGCTCTTCTAAAACCTGAGAAACGTGGAGAGATAAACATGGCAGACATAGTGGCAGGCGAGGCTCCTGTAACTTTGTACCTGTTAAATAATTTATTTAAAGAAATAACCACACATCCTCTGGAGGAATGCAAGTGCACCGAGGCAAGGGTGTTACAAAAGGCCAGATGAAGGAAGGCAGACAGAAGGAAAGGTTCGCTGGATCCAGCCTGGTCTGAGGGAACTTTAGAAGAAAAGCTGAAACCCTGGCTGGACTGTGGCACCTTTGTACTCCAGGTCTGGCTTAATGCTGTCTTGATAAATGGTTACCATGAGAGAGGGAGCCTGTACATCAGCAGTGGCCGGGTCACTAGAACAGGCTCCCAACCTTTTTATACTCCCTGTTGGGAAGAGGAACACAGCAAGCAGGGTATTTGCAGACCAGGATCTCAGGAAAAAAAAAAAAAAAAGCCTGCAACCAATGTATGAAAAAACACTGGTGGCCTTTGGGATTTTAGAAATAAGCACATGATCTTGATTAGGGACCCAGAGCTCAATGGTGAGAAAGCCACAGTTGGGGCTCTGTGGGAAAGCAGCATCTTCAATGGAGAGGACCTCAGGAGAGAAGAGACAGGACTGGCCCCGGAATAAGCAGTCACTCATTTCTCCTCCATACCCATTGTGTGTGCTCATAGAACATCCTGTGTGCTACCCACCACCCACCATCAAGTGCCTACATAGGTGCCCCAACCATCCTCTGCTGGGGGCTACTGAGTGCAGCAGGACCTGAGGCTCTACCAGGTTTGCAGGTTGGAGAGTGATGCTTTGGGGAGATGGAATGAGGACGGACTGACGTGAAGAGCTAGAGAGTGACACGCAGGTCAGAGGGCATCTGGAGATGTGCCTTGTGGGAAGCTGGTGGAGGGAGAACACAGAGACAGCTGTGAGATTTGCCTTTTAGGGAAAGGAGAAGAGATGGAGAAGGCCCTGACAGTGAAGTCAGTGAAGAGCTGTGTGCTGGGCCAACTACACTGTACTCTTTCCTACCTGAATTAACTGAGAGAATTGCATCTAACAACAGAAGCAAAGGCCTAGAATTGGCCACACCCAGAACTTGGTTTGCAATGGGAAGGTGGGCTCAGAGGGCCATCTGGATCAGAAATCTCCTCAAAGGAGGCAGTTGAGCAAAGCATAAGGGATCGGGAACCTTGGAGACCTATGGTTGAACTCAGATTACAATGTGTGTGGGACTGTGAAGATGCTTTGATTTTCTGCTTTTGCAGCTGTGTGTGAGCCTCTTTTTTTTTATGCTGGTTCCTTTTTTTCTTATACCTTTATTTTCTCTTCTATCTTTTCACCTAGCATATATATAGTAGGTGTCTGTATATTTCCAAAGGAGAATAAAAATTAACCAGTGCTTTAAACTACTATTTTTCTTAAGCAAGTCAGTAAAACCCTCACCAATATTCTGTATAGAAAATCAAACCATAAGCTAATTATCAACACATTAATAGGCTGTGCTGTTCTCATATCTTCAATCAATCTCCAGTTTTACATCTGTCTCTCTGATTCCATTCTCCTACTCTTTGCAAATACTTTTTCTCAAAACTCCTCTACAATGATCCTTTACCTCAGTAAGTAAAGTAATTTAAACAGAGGCTGATCTCCTGTCTTCTTTTTAATCTATTGATATCTTCTTTTTTCTTCTTCTTACTGACTTAACTCTACATTTTTCTATTCCTTTTTCCTTCTTTCTCTTCCCATCCCAGTCTATGTGTCAGTGACATTATAGTACAGTCCATATGGGGTATTGATAGAAGAATATAATTGATGATATAATTATGCAAACACATGGAGATTAAACAATATACTCTTTATAATCAGTAGGTCAGGGACGACATCAAGGAAGAAATTAAGTCATTCCTAGAATCAAGTGCTAATGCCAGTATAGCATATTGAAACCTATGGAACATAATAAAAGCAGTTCTATGAGGAAAATTTATAGCTGTGAATATCCAAATCAGAAGAACAAAGTAAGCCCAAATAAATAACCTAATTATGCATTTCAAGATCCTTGAAAAGCAGTAATTTAAATCCAAAACTAACAGAGGAAGAAAACTCCATAGATTGGAGTAAAATTAATAAAACTGAGACTAAAAATACAAGGAAACAATACATTGAACTAGTTCCTTGAAAAACTAAACAAACCCTTAGCCAAAATTACCAAAAGACCCATGTCATTTCAAATAAAAATGAAAAAAGTGAAGTCACAATGGACTCTACTAAAATCCAGAAAATTATTAATAACTGCTTTTAAAAACTCACTTCAATATTTGAAGAATCCAGAAGCAATAGACAGATTACTAGACACATATGTATTATCAAAACTGAATCAAGAAAACAGAAAAACCCCAAGCAGTCCAAGAACAGGCAATGGAATAGAGACACTAATAAAAAACTAATTATTAGATTTACTCTCAGATTCTGTAAGAACTTCAGGGAAGACCTGTCACTAATAGCCGTAAAGCTCCTTAATGAATCTGAAAGAGAAGAGCACTGCTAAGCTCATTCCTGGAAACTAGAATTATCTTGATCCAGGAAAGGATTGAACACAAAAAGAACACTATGAGTCAATCTCTTAATGAACATAGATGCAAAAATCCTGAATGAGATAGTGGTAAACACGCAACAAACCATTAAAATGATCATGTATCAAACATCACTCCAGGGATACAAGGATGATTCAACACATAGAAATCAATAAATGTAATACATCACATAAATAGAAGCAAGGACAAAAACTACAGGATCATCTCAATAGATCCCAGAAAAAGACTTTGAAAAAAAAATTCAGCATCCACTCATCGAAAATATCCTGAAGAAGATAAGCATTGAAGGACCTAAACTCAATCTGATGACAGTTGTTTATAGCAACTTAGTGCCATGTCATATTAAATGAATAACTGAACATTCTCTCTCTCTCTCTCTCTCTCTCTCTCTCTGTTTTTTTTTTTTTTTTTTTTTTTTTTTTTTGGTACCAGGGATCAAATTCACAATCTTGCACTTGCCAGGCAGGCACTTAGGCCACTGAGCTAAATCCTCAGACCTTGAAAACTAAATGTTTGTTCTCTAAAGTCAGGAACAAGAAAAAGTTGTCTACTATCACTACTTTTGTCCAATATTGTAGTCGAAACATTAGCCACAGCAGTCAAGCAAGAGAAAGAAATAAAAGAGTTACATATAGGAAAGGAAAAGCTAAAGTATTATCTGCATATAACATGATCTTCTACATAGAATTCCACTATAAATCTCTTAGAACTAATAAATTGTGCAATGTAGCTGGATACAGAGTCAATGAACAAATATTAATAGCATTCCTGTATATCAACAATGAACTCAAAAGAAAGCAGGAAAACAATTCCATTTTCAGTAGTTTAAAAAGATTAAAAACTCAGCAATTACCCTAACCACAGAAATGAAAAAGTCAATAATGAAAACTACAGTATGTACTGTAAAAAAGAGGGTTGAAGAAGATATTGGAAAATGAAAAGATAGCCCTCTTTGTGGATTGGCAGAACCAATGCTGTCAAAATGGCAAAATTACCAAAAATTATATATATATATATATATATATATACTTAATGCAATCCCAATCAAAACACCAACAGCATTCTTGTTAGAACTAAAAAAAAAAATCCTAAAATTTATATGGGTATAGAAGTGACCCAGAATAGCAAAATCAATCCTGTGCAGTAGGAGCAAAACAGGATTCATCAGGATCCTGAATTTCAAATTACATTACAAAGTTAAGCAAAAAATGGCACAATAGTGAAACCAAAACAGGCATGTTGAACAATAGAAGCAAACTCAATATGCAGCAACATTCTTAGGCACATTTAGCCTTCACATCGTCCATAAAGAGGCCAAAAGCATACACTGGAGAAAGGACAGTCTCCTTAACAAATGATACTGGGAAAATTGGTTGTACACAAGCAGACAATTAAGTCTAGATCCATAACTGTTGTTCTGTAATCAAATCAAATAAAAATTAGTCAAAGAAATAGTGTATAAACAGAAACACTGCATCTGTTGGAAGATACAATAAGTAAAAACTCTTTAAAAAATAAACATAGGTAAGGATTTTGTGAAGAGACCCGGTAACACAAGAAATAACATCAAGAATCAACAAATGGGATTGTATCAAATTAAAATGTTTCTGAACAGAAAGAAAATAACCAACAGAGTGAAGAGGCAATCTAAAAAATGAGGAAAGAAAATTCCTGCCACTGCTCAGATAGCAGACTAGAATATAGAAAGAACTCAGAAACATTTTGCTTTCCTAAAATAAAAGACCCAACTAAAGATTTGATAATGGAAATTAATAGAAACTTCTTGAAGACAAAATACAAATGGCCAATGAGTACATGCCAACATGTTCATTATCTTTGGCCATTAGAGAGATGCAAATCAAACAATATTGAGAGTCTGTCTTACTCTGAAAGAATGGCTGTCATTGAGAACTGAGAAACCAACAAATGCTGGTGAGGTTGTGGGTAAAAATAACCCTTAGTGTTGTCATTGGGAATGTATATTAATACAGTAATTGTTGAAATCAATACAGAGATTCATCAAAAAGCCAAAAATATAAATTCTATTTTACCTAGCTATACCTATTTTTGTTATTTTTTTCCAAAAGCTTCTAGGACATCGTATTATAATGATCCATTCATTCTCACATTTATCACAACATACCTCATAACAGCTACATTTTGGAAGCAGTCTATATGCCCATTAACAAATGAACGGCTGTAGGAAATGTTACATGTTTACACAACAGAGTAACTAATCAGTTATAAAGGTAAATTTGAGTCATTTTTAAGGAAATAGATGGACCTTGAGACCATAACTCTAAGGAAAGTAAATCATACACAAAAGATTAAATACCACATGGCTTCTTTTATGTGAAAAATCTGAAATACAAAACATTTAAAGAACAAAACAGAAGATATTTTGCAGGAAATGTGGAGATATAAATTGTGGAAATGTGAAGGGAATCTAGAGATAGAAGCAAGAAGGCAGAGGAAGTAACGGGGAAGCAAAAAGATTTAAGTTGATATATATATATATATATATATATATATATTCCCCATAATCAATGCACTCATCATGTACAACAAACATTTTAATAAAAATACATGAACAAAAATAAAATATAGCAGGAAAAATGTCATTTAGTTCACAAATTTATAGTTAGTCATACACTAGAACATACATGACCAAGGAAAGTAGAAATGAATCTTTGTACGTACTGAGCAAAATATGTTCTGCTATTCTTTTGTTCACATAGGAGATCTATTTAAATGTTTATTATTTTATGATGCACAGCAAAGTCTCCCCCTTTTAATCTTCACAGTTTGAAATTATTGAACAACAACTTTTTAAAATTTATTTATTTATTTATTTATTTTTGGTACCGGGGATTGAACTCATGACCTCCCTCTTGCCAGCCAGGCTCTTATGCCACTGAGCTAAATCCTCAGCTCATTGCACAACAATCTCATTAAAATTTATTAAGCTTTGAAATGATTTTCTACAATGTTTGTCTATTTTTTTCAGGGGATTATTTCCAAAAACTCATATTAATCATAATATTCCCAACAGGGAAAACTGAAACGGATCCATTTTGGGAATCCCTTCGGGACCAGCTCTTGGGCAAACCATCTTATGAAATCAAAGAATGCCATAAACCAAAGCCAGTCCTTCTGCACACTGGAGAGGTAATGCATCTTAATCATCACAGTGAAATTAATATAGGGATGCATGTGTTCCTATGTAAAAATTTTAATTTAAATGATTCCTGTGTGTCTAAGGACATAGAATTATGATTATAAAATGTAACAACTTCTTGATTCCCTTCCTTTTTTTAAAACATGTTTGTAATACAAAATATTTGCATCTTTATGTGGAGTTGGTTCATGTACATAACACAACTTAATTCCTTTTTGGTCCCCTTTTCTCCTCCTTCCTTTCCCTTCTCTCCATTCCTTGATTCCATTTCTGCTTGAGAGAGATCTATCTCACTTCCTATCATCTGTTTTTTATTTTCTTCTTATTTATACTTTGAGTTTCTCATGTAAGAGAAACCACAACAAAGGAGAAGGGTGGGAGGGGGAAGGGGATGGAGAAAAAGAAACGAAGATGTGTTATTCTCTGCACCAATTCTCCACAGGGAATGCAAACATCGAGCACTGTAAAACACATGCTAATAAAGAATAAATGAAAAGAAAAATATACTGATTCACCTTATTGCATTTTTGAGAAATAAATAAAGCAGAGCGGTGAGAAAGGAAAGTTCAGAATTCATTTATGCTGGCTCCAGGAAAGCAGTCTGCACAGAATCTTTGCAGGGAAAAATATCTAAGTCATATACAAAGACATGTCTGGGTCTCTGTTCTTTCACACTTTACGTAACATTATTTGCTAAAGCAATCTTCTTTGGAACACATCCTTTTGTATTATCAATGACACTATTTCAGTATTCATAGAAATATGGATTGTTAGGGTAGAGGTGTTTTTAAAACAGATTGTTTTCCTAATAGTTTATTAAAATTCCTAGAATATATTTCTAATACTCTATTAAAATTCTTAGAGAATAGAGAAAAAAAGAAAGGATGGAGAGATACATTATTTGACACTAATCTAAATATGGAAAGAATATATACTCTTGGAGAAACTTTGAATAAAAAGGTACAAGACTTGGGAATTGTAAAATTAAGGTGCCATTACAGTAAAAACAAAAATCATTGCATTCAGCTATTCTAAATAGCTTTCCTTATTCATAGTATATAAAAACAGTCACAATACTGTAGGACAATGGTGGTGAAGCACGGCACAGGTGCCACAGTGAGCTGTTTGTTATCACTGAAAGCTCTAAGGTTTTGGCATCGCTCTTCTAGGAGAATCCTTGGTTATTTGTTATTGTGATTCCATAATGAATCAAATTCACTGATAAGGTCAGGTTAATGAAGCTTTAGTACTTGAAATTTACATGTCATGACCAGGACTAGATAATACCTGTATAGTATATTTATTATCCTCATTATATATTAGAAATAAATCCCATGATAGGAGAAAACCCAGTGCTTTTAATTCTGTGTCTTTCTGTTCACCATAGACACAAATCTTGCTTCTGTTCTTAGATCACAAGACCTCATCCCTGGCATCCAGATATTGTTGATGTTCAGATGATTACTCTTGGGTCTTTGGCCATAGCTGCTGTCCCTGGAGAGTTGACGTAAGTTCTTTCCATCTCTCAGGGAGTGTTTGTTTTGTTTTTCTTTTGGAATTAATTCTTATGGAAAGATACTCCTTGATGTTCTACTATGCTTACATTTCTATTCATACTCTGTTTTGGTGAATTATCTGAAGAATAAGTCTCTTTATGCCTATTATTGGCATGTAACCTAAGGAAACTATAAACATTTATGAATGTACTCTAAAAGTAAATGATGCCATGAATTTTCATGTTATTTAAAAACTTGAAATATCTTTAAATATAAGTGCCCAAAGCAATCAATTTAGTAATAATGTTTGAAACTTCTTGTATAATCTTTCCTATATCCGTAAGTAGAAGTTTTATGTTTTTCCAGTTGCGAGGGCCTGCATCTTGGAATCACTCCAGAATTATGTTTTTATTTTTCCTTCTTTCAACCTTTCAGCAAATTCTGTTCATTTTTGTCATCTGTAATACTTTCTATCATTCTCTATATGGTCTAAGTCACCTTTATCTCTCAATCACATTATTATAATATCCTATCTGATCTGCTTCATTTTTCCCTTAATTTTCTAGAACATATCCTCAAATGGCAGCCAAATTAATTCCTTTGAAGCGAGCCAAATTATGTCTCTTCTTTGCTCAAATTCCTCCAATAGCTTCCCATCTCATTGCAGGTAAATCCTTAATTCGTTACACTGTCGTGTGAGTTCCTACACGACCTGTTACTAAGCGTGTTCTCTGACCTGACTTCTCACCAATCCCTTTGTTCTTGCTTGCTTCCACTGCCCTGGATTCATCGTGCTGCCGAGACTTGCCAGGGAACACTCTCGACACAGGGCCTTTGAATTGATGGTTTCTTCTGTGTGGAACACATTCCTTCCAATTACCAAATACTTTATTCCTTCTGTTCTTACCCCAGACCTCTCACAGGATGCCAGCCCTTACCACACTCATAAAACAGTCTTCATTCACAACCACCACTACCACCAGCACAAAAAACCCATCATCAGCGTCACCATCCACACCCTTACCTTGGTGATCACTACCATTTCCATTCATGCTTACCCTGGTAATTGTTTCTTGTTATCTCACTTTTAAATTTGTTTGTTGACTCTCTACTCCGTAGGAAATAAGCTCTATATTTTTGAATCATAAACACTTGGAAGTAAGCCTGGTATAAGGAAATACAGTTTTACTAAAGGATTAATTGTATGAATGAAATGACAAGTTCTTTGTGAGCAGGAATCATAGTACACTTTTTCTTTGGTTCAGTTCTTATTAACAAAGACCGAAACTGACGTGTTTTGTTGAATCAGTGAGTGCGTAAAAATGACAACCTTTTGCTAGCAACATTCACTGATTCTGTTTCTTCCTTTGGTCAGATTAATTGTTTAGTTTGTTTGTAGATAGGACAGATGGAAGGAAAAAGCAATTCTGAACTTTAGCTTCATTTTATCATTCATTTCCTGTATAATTTTACTATTGTGTGATGGCCCAGAGTAACTTTTTGGCTTTTACCACAGGTATTTTTGTATACTTACATATATTTGAAATAGCAAATATTTATGTAATTATTTTCTTGTTTTTATTATGTCTTTGTCATATGTGCTAAACAGAAAACACTTACCTAATTCTCTTTTCTTGACTTTTACTACCAGTCTCTCCTTATCCTTTCATATATTCTGAATAGAAAAACATTTTCTTGATTTAGGACTATGTCTGGACGAAGACTTCGAGAGGGAATTCAAGCAGTAAGTTAAATATTAAGTGAAATAGCTACATATTCATTCTGTGTCTCTATGATCTGATATCTCTTAAATTGCTAGTTCTGAAAATGAGTAATTTAATACATTTTCCTATAGTTTCATAATTCTTAAGATTAATGAGTAGGGGTGAATATTAAATATTGTGTGTATAAGAACCAGATTTAAAAACACAAGGGAGTCATTGTCAGGCTAAAACATTTTATTGTTATTTATGTTTAAGTAAGTTAAGAATTGATAACAGTTTTATGGATTAGCTAAGAAATAATCCTTACTCCCTAATCTTTAATCTTAAAGCTGTAAATAAAATGTCTTAGTCACTTTCTTGTTGCTGGGATATGATACTCAACACCCACAGTTTAAAGAAATATAGATTTATTTTGGCTCAGTTTCTAGCCCAGAGTTTACTGACTTAAAGGCATGACAGCTTGCACAGAGGCAGAGCAGAGGAAAAGCTACTTACTTGTGACTGGCAGCCAGGAAATAGAACATGACGAATTGAGTCAGGGGTGAACACATAGCTTTCACAATATGCCCACAGGGATCTGCCTCCTGCAGCCAGGTCCACCTCCTATCAGCAAGTCAGCTGTAACACCCCTACAGCCAATGCTCTCCTTACAGCTCCGTCTATGACCACGTGAGGCTCTTGGGAGACATCTGGATGTAAACCATAACATAAATTATGTCACATTTTGGGAGTTCTGTGTATTATGTATATCTATGATTTTCTTTATATCCTTTGAACATAGGAAATACTATAAACAATTCTATAATGACATTTAAATAAACATCTTTTTACATGGAACTAGAGAGAACTATTTGAGTTTTAATATTGGAAAGATTTTTGTTCAGAGAGACATCTTAAGCCAATAATTCACATCAGTGGTTGTACCTTAAATATAACTAGGATGATAATACATTTAAGATGAAGAGGAATTTTACTGGGTTCTACTCTCCTCTCCTAGGAATTTGCATCATATGGGATGAAGGATATGACTGTAGCAATTTCTGGTCTATGCAATGTTTACACACATTATATTACCACGTATGAAGAATACCAGGTAAAGTAGAAATTTTCTCATCATTTAAATGAATTGTACTTTGGCCAAACTTGTGTCAAATGCACACTTTCTAGATTTTCTCAATTTTCTGAGAGATGATTTTATTTTAATGGAATTTAATAAATTTTAACGGATTTTAATTTAATGGAAATGTATGAGAATAGTTAAGCCAGAGCCTCTATCTGGGAATTCCAGGTACATCCTCTCCAAGTTCAGGTCAGAATTCTAGTCTCTGATTTCCATCTTTCCTCAAAACAATAATTTTGTCAGGGATACTGCTAGTAAGCATAAATTACTCATAATCGTGTGGCTAAGCTGCTATAGAGCTTCGAAAAACTCCCAGTGACAGTAACTCTTTATTGAAGTTAAGCATTTTGCAAATGTAATCTTAATAATTCTTGCAGTACATGTAGAAACAGAGTATTATTGTATCCATAATACATATCAAGGAACAAATCCTTGAGGTTTTGGAGAGATTTGTGACTGGTGTTGCTTCTTTGTTTATAAACAGTGCAGAAATCAACCCATGTACTTTTTTTTTTTTTAAACAGTAGCAGTTTTATTAAAGGTAGGAAAAGAAAGAGACTCCAAAGAGTGAGTTTGGGCCAATTAAAAATAAGAAAATAAATGCAACCTATATCTCGAGGATGAGCCATCTGTGTGAGAGAGAACACAGTGGCCTCTTTATGCTTTTTAACTCATTATACTTTTTAACAACAGTAGTTAAACACATGAAAACAGTCTAACATCCCACAGTGAATGTTTTCTAATATACCAGCTGTTTATCATGGCGGACCATGCACAGGCAAACAGGGACCTCTTGGCAAATATTCAGTGGCACTAGAGGTAAAATCTACCCTGCTGCCTTCTCTTGGCTTGACTGAAAGTTCCTGATTTCTAGGGAATCCTCAGATAATTGCCTTACAAAGATAAAAGGTTTGTTTTAGCTCATTATTTTGGAGGCTTTAATTCATGATTGGTAAACGCATTGTTTAGGTCTCTGGTTGAGGTTTTGGACTTGTCCCCAATGCCCAAGTCTTTCCAGGAGCCCATTTCTCCATGGTTTGCCACCGCCCAATAGTCCCTGGCTAGGGGCTAACACTTTACTACCAGGACCTTCGGGCTCATTCTTGAGCCTAAAGAAAGCACTGTCGAACGTGAGTGCTTACCTATGGAAAACTGGGATAGGAATAATTGTATTCTTTTTTCCTCTACTTCATATTATTTATATTTCCTTCAATGATGAATGTAGGAAACAAATAACAATAACATTAGCAGTACCTCCCACTCTGTCACCAGTAAGAACCAGATATTATAATATAACATACAGTTATAGATCTGAAAATATCTATTATTCTTATTATTTTGAAATCATAGTAGTTACTCAATCCACAGCTAGGTCTTATTATACAATAGCATAGTAAAGAAACATATTATCATATCACCAAATTGGTTTCTTTTGTTACTATCATCAATTTTATTTTGAACCATTATTCTGAGAGAGGATTACAGGTCTTTGCAGACTGACAAAGGTGGCCAGGCCTCCTCCCCACAAAAAAGGAAAGAAAGAAAGAGAACCCTTAGTATCTCGTCACCTTGTCCAGGGACGTGCTCCAGCGAAGATTACCATTAACTCATTAATTAACTAGCTCCAAAGATACGTGTTGTGAAAGGCACTGTAACAGATATGTGTTGTGAAAGACTTTGGAATAGAACAATGTAAAGACTGCCACTAGACCCTGGCTACTGGGACTGAATCTAGCAGAAAGAGAGGAGAGTAAATGATTGCATTTTGTGTAAGCATGTGTTTGGTGACGTAAAAACAGGGAGACAAAAGTACTAAGCTGGACTGAGTGTCTGAGGACAAGGACTGGGAAATGTTCCGAAGGGGTAAGATCTGTCTGAGTTTTAAGAATGAATAAGGATAAGTCAGACAAGTAAAAATGGAGATGGTGTCTTATATAGAGAAGCAAGCATACACATCAGCAAGCAGGAGGGTGAGACTCAGCATCCAGGCAGACCATAATTAGTTGAGTACCTTGTAGTGAGTATGATGAGGGTGATGGCAAGGGAAAAGCCACAGTGAGAGTAATATTGTATAGCTGATGGAGTTTTATAACCTGTGCTACAGAGCTTTGACTCAGTAAGAGAAGCTTAGAGGAACCGCACTAGGATTCTAAGCAAGAGAATGTTTCGATGTATTTTGTGATTTAGAAAGGTCACTAGGATGGCCATGTAGAAAATGAATTGGAAAGGAATGTGTAAAGACAGAACTGATTAAAAAGATGTAGTTAACATCTAGGTTACAAATGAAGGTTTGAAAAAGGTAAGGGAAGTAGAGAAGAATGGGCAAAGTTAAGAGATGTGTAAGGAGGGAGAATGACAAGATCACCTGATCCTCGTGTGACATACACTGGGCTTCAGAACACAGCAGGGAAAGCAGGTGTGTTTGGAGTGATGAGTGCATTTTTAAACTGACTGAAGTTACCTTGGAGTTCAGGTAAAAGGAGATGCATTTGGCTTTGTTTCATGCCTCTATTACGGGTTAAAATCCTGTAGTATGCTATCAACACCCAATTTGTCCAGGAGTTATTAGAATATTTCCCCCATGTTTTTCTCTTCTGATGTATGCCCTCAAAGAAGTATTGCAAGTATTTACAATAGACAGAAACTCAGGATATAGCATCTTATTTCAGATTAATTGGAGAGACAGTCTAAATGACATAAGCGAGGAGAATCCATTGCATTTAACAAGTAGCTGATGGGAGCCATTATTTTGGATGGTAAATGGAAATGCCCATTCTCTTTTTCCTAATAAATACTGCAGGGTTGGGGATATAGCTCAGTGGTACAATGCCTCCCTGGCAAGCACAAAGTTTTGAGTTTGATCTCTGGCACAAAAAATACCCATAATGCACATCGGAAATTATCCGGGCTTATATGAAATGCCTAGTTGTCACCCTAAAATACTACACCTCCGTAAATTAATCAAAACATCAAAATAATGTACTCTTCTCTTTACTTCTCCTGCAGGCTCAGCGGTATGAGGCAGCATCTACAATTTATGGACCACATACTCTGTCTGCTTATATCCAGCTCTTTAGAGCCCTTGCTAAGGCCATTGCTACGGTAATCAAGTATTGCGTGTATGTCTGCTTGTTTTCTATCTGTCTGCCTCATGGTGAGGAGATACAGAGGAAGCAAAAGAAAACCTTGTATCTCACATTTTCAATTTTTGGGGACAATTTGAATGTTAAAAAGCTAGGGGCTTCTACAAAAATTACAGCTACATAGCATCTCTAAGAAACAATGAAAATCTACTGCCAATAAAATTCCAAGTTAGTTAATGTCCTTTAGCAGTGGCTACTTGCCTCATAAACATCACATGAAGGAAGGAGATATTATTTTCCCTCATTTTTTAGGTAAGCGGAAAGGCTGCAAGATTGTAAATGATCAGGCTTGCTATAATTATACCTGGAAGCCAGACTCGTGTTTTCTAATCCTCATCAAAGGCTCTCCAACTCACTGCAGGAGTTGATTGAGTAGGTCAGCAACGCTAGCATATCAGTTGTTCACATTATAACATTTCTGGAATTGAGATGCAGCTTCCAGTCAGAGGAATTCTACTATAATAATTAATAACATTATTACTTTCATGGTGGTCCCTAAATAGTATGTTATTTTAAAGAATGGAGGATTAGATGTGATGGAATAGAATATTACCGTGGAATGCACACCTGAAAAACGCCACACAAACACATACTTATTTGATGAGATTAAAGTAACTTCACTTTAGAAATCTTTGCTTTGGGATATGGCTATTTTGAAGCTGCAATTGTGGTTTGTTTTCTTTTGTTTTTGAGAAATGGTCTCACTAAGTAGCTCAGACTGGTCTCAAACTCATAATGATCCACCTTCCTCAGCTTCCCAAGTACTGGAATTACAGGTGTGCTCCATCACACCCAGCTGCAGCTGTGGTTTCAGAAGAGTAGTTAACAAACAAAATAAAGAGCCTTGGTAAAAGTTGTGAAATGATTATGACGCAGCAAGTACAATAAATACCTTTCAAAGAAAAAATTAGAATGCATTGGATTGAAATAGTGAAATTGTTGTCCTGTAGGTCAAATCATTTGAATACTGGGAATTTCATAAATCTCCACCATTAGTTTACTGATTGTGTGTTTCAGATTTCAATATATCAGGTTTACTTTGCATGTATTTTAATTGATAATTATTTTCATCATAGTGCTCTCAGTTTTAGCTCTGTTAAAGTTTTTCAGGGAGTGATATTTAGTGAAGGCAGTTTTGATTCTTTTGTTTCATGGCCTACTTTATTGTCATGCATCTTAAGACTAGCTATGTGACTTTGAAAAAACAACTCAGTATCTCCAAGTGTAATTTCCCATTTTCAAAGTAAGAATTACAATCCACACTTATCCCATATACTATTGTAAAGATTAGACAATGTGAGCCTAAAGGACATTAAATACATATCAAGGGCTATTTAAAAATGAGATTTGCATTTGATTGCACCATTAAAGTGGCAAATTTCAACAAAACAAAACAAAAAAAAGTGGTAAAGTTTGTGGAAACCTGAATCAAGCCAGACAGGATGTAGGCTGATCTTAAAATCTGAAATTAAAAATGCTTTTATTACACTCTTTACCATAGAAAAGAATGGGAAAGGACTCAGAACTACTATGAATAAAACAGTGTCAACTTTTGTAAATTCCTAGTAGATAATGCTAGGGTCATGTTATGAAAGCTTATCGTGTGTCCAGTCCTTGTCCAAAGTCACACAGAATTTAAACTTGAGTAGTGTGGGTCTAAGCTTGCTCTCCGAGCCTGAGCTATTCTTCTAAATAAATAAAATAGCTGCCTCTCATCAAAACTGTCTTCTACTGACAAAGGCTTAAACTATGGATATCTCGGCTAACATTTTAGTCAGGGGTGTGTGTGCGCGCACACATGTGTGTGTGTTCAGGTGTGCACCTGTGCATTTCTTGCTTCCTTTAATAAAGGCATCTCTAGGGATGGAGGTCTGGGGAAATGGTCTTGGCTCTGTGTCGTACTTTCTTTTAGCAAATGCTTCCCATTTCAGGACACTGTTGCCAACATGAGCAGCGGTCCAGAGCCTCCAGTTTTCAAACAACTGATACCTCCACTTATCCCTAATATTGTGGATAGAGCACCGATAGGCAGAAACTTTGGGGATGTTCTGGAGCCACTGAGACCTCAATACAGAGTGGTAAGACAGAGAGATATCTTAAATATTTCAGAGACCTGTTTTTGGAGTTGAAGGAGATGATGTTGCTTAACGCCACCACTTCTTCTCCCCATACCAGGGGCCAGTGGTGGCGGGCATATGGCACGTGTGCCACAGCCCGCTCGGTGTTTTCACTGGGAGCTCTAAGAGGTTCATCATCACTTGCATATGCTGTGTTTAGCAAGGATAATTTTTTATTATTTTTACTTTTTTAGCAATGATAATTTTGACAGTTCTTATCTTTTCAGAGACTCTTCAGAAGTAATAAGAACAGGAAATACTTTTCTGGGGGTAATTATGTACAATTGAATTACTAAAATATAAATTATTTGTTTTTTAAAATAGATGGTCAAAGACCAATTCAATGGAGCTGAAAGATGGGTATTAAAGGTATCAAGGGTAAAAGAAAGCTAGAAATAAAACAATTATCTGTACCAGTATATTTTATATTGATCTTCTGGCTTATAAGCTTACTAAATCATTTTTTAGTTCTAACAGGTGGTGTTACTGTTTTCATATGTGTTCCTGAGGAATCTCAACCCATACTATACCATCTATAGATAATAACTGATTTAATTATTTTTTTTTCTGAATGTCTTTTTTTTTTTCCATTGAATGTTCTAGAATCCCCAATACAGTGTTTAATAGAAGTTGCGAGACTGGACATTTTTCGTTTGTTTTGTGTTCCTAGGAGGAAAATATTCAGTGCTCTTCTGTTCAGTATGATGCTTTCAGGCTTTTGTAGATGGTTTTGAGAATTCTTTAATAGATGTCTCTGTCCAAAACTAGGATGACTGCCATATTTTGCAAAAATATAGAAGAAAGCCCTTCTGAGGGCTTATTGTCTCCATATGAGGCCAAGAAACTCCATCGGGAGAAGGAGTTGAACCACTTGGTGGCTGTGTTTATGCAGGGTGGAGCCAGTTGGGAATCGGTATCTCAGTGCTCCCTTGGCACTTTGAGTCACTTGCTGGCTGTACTTAGGCAGGACAGAGCCACTTGGGAAGTGGTAGCTCTTACATTTACTCTATAGTAAAAGCTTTGGTATTTTTTTTTTTTAAGGTAGAAGGGATAGAAAAAAAAGCTTTAAAAAGTGCTAAGAATGAGCCAAATTTAACTCATAGCCTCTTGAGTTAAATTTTACTACTGTTCTTTTATTTTGCTCAGGCAAGCAAGCATATGTTTCTAAATTACCTGCATTTTGTTAGAAAAACCAAGGAAGGGATCTAGAAACAAACATGGTAGTGGCTGACCCCATACAAAACCCAGCCACACAGCAACACAAGAAGACAGCTCTGCCTGGGATAGTACCTTAGAAAGAAAAGGGCACCTAGGGGAAAAGAGACCTGTACACATGTGGGGTTGAACAGAACCTTTACAAGTCTCTAGTCCTCTCTTACAGCTCTGCTCTTTGTGGTACTCTCTTCTCTGCTGCTCTAAAGTAACTCAAACTCTGACTATCGTGGATTCCATATTTTACGTCCTCAGCATAGAGAGACACCTGACAAGGACTGAATTCTGCCTTTTTCCCCACAACCTACAACTTCTCTGTAGGCATTAAATTAGGGTGATTGTAGGGTTAGTCTTCTTTATCTTTGACCACTCAATGGTCATTGTCTTTCATTGCTTAATCATGTTGTCCTTAAAGCCATTGTTTAAGTCCAGTGTTTTAGTTATTTCAGGTGGGAGGGTGGTATACAATCTGACACTGTGTTTTGTGTAAATGTAAGTAAGCCATCTATAGACTAATCTTATTCGATTCATCTGTCCCCTGTATGCGTATGGAAGGGAAGTGGCAGACAATTTAAGGACTAAAGTATCCATTTTCATGTGCTGTCTTGGATGTAACCTATAGTTTACATCTTTATCTACATTTGAATTTACAAAAAGAAATTTTGCTAGCTTCAAATTACTATGTTTATTGTTGCAAGGACATTTTCTCAGATATTCCCAAGGTATTTCTTGATGATATAGAATGGAATCTGCCCAACGATCAAGACTCCTAAAACACGGAATAGATAATGATCACATTGTAGTACAACAAAAATTCTTTCATTAGAACTTACCAAATGAATTTTTATTTTTAGGGAGAAGTTGCTGAAGTTACATTTGTAGGTGCTAACCCAAAGAATTCAGCAGAAAACCAAGTAAGTATCATTTTTGCTTATATATCTAAATCTACTTTTTATCCTTTCATTCACTTGAATATGCCTTTAGAAGTTAATAACATGCACACAGGACGTTCCCACTTGTTCCCTATCTTATTCTTCCAGATGGAAAAATGTTTAATGCATATTATAAATATGGAATTGAGTCTGGAAAAAATTACACAGAAAATATTTTAATGTCTAGGTATATCTATATCTATCTATATATTTCATAATTCATACAGCTCTGCATGTTTCTTGAGAAGATGGCAATTTACATATAATCTCATTCATGTACTAAAATGTAGAACTTTACTAGATGTGATCAACTAATCAAAGGGCCAAGCAAGTTAGGTGTGTCTTGAGATCCTTCCCTCTCATTTTTGGACCCTTTTCTCCTCTTCCGTTATTACTACCTATAACCCTACCTCTTCTGTTTTAGAATGGTCACTGATCTCCAGATGAATCTCTTATAGGCTTAGGTCCTGGCCCCATGGGGTTTCTTTTGTATTGGCACATTTCTGCACTCCCTATTCTCGGCATTAATAGGGTATATGTGTATTATTATTAAAAACCAACAGATGAAATACATATCCAGTATAAAAGCAAATAGAAGTGCATAAAATAAAATGTTAAAGAATCCTGATTTTCTAGAGGTAATTGCTGTTAATAGTTCATTTCAGATCATTTAGGCTTTTTGTTTCTATGATATATATGATATTTTTATACAAGGATAACATATACTGAGGGCTGGAGATTTAGCTCAGCGGCATAAGCGCCTGCCTTGCAAGCAGGCAGTCGTGAGTTTGATCCCCGGTACCGATAAAAAGGAAAAAGACAAAAAAAAAAACCCCATATATATATATATATATATATATATATATATATATAGATAGATAACATGAAGTAATTTTAGTTTACTGTAAATTCCTTCAAATGGCCTTATAACCATACAAGCAATAAGTGGCCATTCTCTAGTTGTACACATTTAAGTAAAGAAATTTTTAGAGGCAAAGAGACTTACAGAAAGTGATTCTTGGATCATATTTTTTACATTTACCCTGTTGCTGTGCCATTCTTCACTGGGTCCATAATTCTTGTAATACAAAATATCTTTATTTTAAATGAACCCTCCTATTTCTGGTCATAAAATATCTTTATTGCCAACTGTGGCAATCTGACATCATCAGATAAAGGACTGGAAAAAATGTTCTATTTCTTGGATACTCAGCATGCACTTGTTTTAAATAATTTCTATTGGAGATATCGCTGAATGCTTCCATGTTTATAACGTTATTTTCTGAAGTTAAAAGTGTTGCACCAAACACTTAGTTGTCATTTGATATCCTGGGGGTAGAGAAACTCTATCCTCATTGTTTCCATGGAGAACAAAATGCTTAAAGCGCTATAATGAAATACATGTAATATATAAAAATTTTCTGGAACATGGTACAAAACAATTACTAGTACTCTTTATCACTATTACTCATCATGTAATCATTATCAATATTTATTGAGGGCTTACCATATATAGGTCCTGGGCTAAGTACTTCATATACAATATCACATTAATTTAATCTTCACTACTCCCCATTAAGTTACATCTTATGAGTAACCTATAGATTACAGATTAGTAAACTGAATCCTAAAGAGGTTGACTAATTGATAGTAACTAGTTATGCATCTTGAAGAGGTTATGGTAGGGATGTGGGAAAAAGATACTCACTGTTTGGCCCTGATGTTCTGTGATATAGACTTGTGCTCCAGTCTGTACTATAGACCTGTTCTTTGGGTCTCATCATACTTCATGCTTATTTTCGGCTTCTCCAATGTCATTCTGCCATTAATAGGCAGAAGTGGCTTTCTTTACAAGTCACCATGGTTATAAACACTTTTTCATTAAATATAATCCAGCAGTTGACCAATGAGAGAATTTTAAACAATTATATGGCCAGCTGTAAAAAGTGATCTATTCAGCAAAGGATTATTTGATCACTGGTAAATGAAAGTGTAAAGGGTTATGATGGATAAAGATGAATTAGGCACGAGTCTTGTCATTTAAGGGCCACAGTCTAAGAGATTTTGAGGGAAATTGCAGATTTGTGGCCTTTGTATTTATTAACATGTCACATTAAAATCTATGCTTTATTTGCAGCTGAATTCATGGCTTGAAACAAATTATTCTATTACAATAATGTTCCTATGAAGAAATAAAATCTGTTTATAATATGGTTTCTAGGACTCTGTTATGACAAAATATAGGAGCTGCCTTTAGCATGCAGGACAGGGAAGATTTATATATTCTTTCCAATTCTTTCACTCAAAAAGATACAGAAACTAATAATTCATTTACCAGGAAACTGAAATATGAAGAAACTTCCCTTCTAAATCATTCTAAATCACTTGGTGACCAAAAAATTGTATATATAGAACAATAAATATGTCATGGAAAGACTTGATTTATGTCTTTTTTAAATTTTAAGTGTATTCCCAGTTTCTTCTCAGCTCTAATTTCCAATCAGCTCCATAATTATGTTTCCTTGAAATATCTAATGTCATAGCTTTTAACAGACTGGATAAATTAACATTCTGAAGACATTGCATAGAATGTGAAGGGGAACACCTAACAATTCAGGTGAAATTCTAACACAGTTTCACACAAGGCATTGGAGGTTGATGTGTGGTCAGCAGGAAGAGTTAGTAGAGCCTGGACCTTTTTTGTGACTATGCGGTGCTTGATAAATGAATTGTGTTTCAGACCCATGAGACCTTTCTCACCGTGGAAAAATATGAAGACCCTACAGCAGCCTGGCATGTCATGTATAATGATGCCTCCTGGGAGACTCGGTGAGCGTGCCTAGTGAATATTTTGTCTTTTGCACCTTAGCAGAAGTTGGTTAGTAATTCAGAAAACATGCATAAAGGAGTGACTCAATACACAGTACTCATAATATCAAATTCCAGGAATCCTTCTGGCCATATTTAATTGATTTATTGGACTTCATTTTTATTCTGCTTGTTTCCAAAAGCATCTGGTGTGTGCGTCTGTAAGATGGTTGCTAATGAGGTTATGGATTCCATTCTTAGAAATGACCTTGTTAGTGTCATTTCTTTTTTTCATGGTCACAGATATCACCCTGAAAACTTATACTTTCTTGAAATTTGACTGAAAAAGGTGTTGGACAGAGGAGTTGCATTGTCTGTATAGAGCACAACATTCCTACTGTGAAAATAGTGAACTTATTCCCGTATGTAGTTTGGACTTACACATGGCCAGTGATTCTTCCTTTACTTATAGGAATCTGAGAGGTTTAATTCTTGCAGAGTCTTGAAGAACATGTCAAGTTTGTGCTTTCTCAGAGAAATTTATCTCTGCCTTTTGTTAAAAAATTCCAGATCTGAATAGGTATTTTAAATATTTAGACGATTTTTCTGAAACAGAAAAAATTTCTGTTCTCAAGTCAATAAATGTTACATCACAAAACAGTGGTATGGAAGTAGGTAAAAATTTTGACAATTTGTATCTCATTCAGATAGTATCAAACTAAGTTAATTATCTCATGCTGGTTTGATCCACATGGCTTACTGAAAACAGGGATTTGACCATGTTGTGATCCATTTGACAGCCACATGTAAATACAGGAATGTTTCTTTGACCTTTAGGACTCTAGAGTATAGGTGTGTGTGTGTGTGTGTGTGTGAGTGCCATTGGATGGCACTCAGTCAGCAGCATTCATTGTGTTTTTAATTATGCCTTGTAAAAATACTGATGAAAGAGGACTTCTAGAAGTGAAAAAGGATGATTTTCACAAGCAACGACTCAAAACACCAGGCCACGCTAAGGACAGGTTTAGAACTCTTGCCTTGTTCATTAGCAGCGAATAGCATCAAATATTTATAGAGAACATGAGGACAGTCACTCAGAAAAAAGAAAAAATGTTGAGAACACTCTCAGTACCCCAGGATTAGCTTTCTACATAACTGAGAGATCAACTAATTTGCCGATCAGGCTCTCACAGTCCTTTGAATTCCTGACCATGGTGCCCGGGCCAGCAGGCTCTGCCTCCATGTTTTCGCCCTCCCACTCACCACAGCTCCATAAGCTCTGTTTCTACTCACTAGCTTTCTGGTTTTGACTGCACCAAGTTCCCACGGTGGACACTGTGTCTTCTGTTTTTTCATCCTAAAATATTCTTCTTCCACATCTCTGTTGACTTAGTCTAAATGATATTTCCCCAGAGAATCTTCTGTCTTATTTTCTTTTTGTGGGTTATCATTCTTAAAATGTTCAGATTTGTTGGTTTATTTATTGGTTATCTTTGTTTCCATTCCCACCCCAATAGAATATAAATTTCATGAAACTTTAAGCCATCTTTAGACTGTCTCCACCTTGCTTACTACTGTGAGGTATGATGAAAAGTATGGAAAATCTTAAAATTTTAAAAATTTGTTACACATTGGCTTCAATAGCCCTAAAATATTCCTGCTTGCTTCGAACACTGTTAGACCATTGTTCTTGCTGCCTTCTCAAATAGTGCTGGCGTCTTCTTCTGCGAGTGACTTTAGTTACACTATTGCACCTTCTGGGTGTCCTGAATCTATTCACGTTCCATGGTCATTTTGATTTTAGGAAGTGCCAGAATTTGCCTGATGCCAGACATGTGAAACAGCGGGGTGGGGACACAGCGTGTTCTTTCTACGAGCCTGCTTTTCCATTGGCTAGCTCTTGCAGCAGCAGTCACCATGTTTTTAATTATATCTTGTAAAGATACTGATGAAGGGGAAGTAGAAGTGCTTCTCAAAATGGCAAGAACAATGACATATGTGTTCAAAGCAAGCGGGAGTATTTTGAAGGGATTTGATGTTACTATATCTTTTATTATAATGCATTTTTAAAAATTAAACATTCATTGTATATTTTGATCAAATTTCATTTATCCCCAGTACTTTTTGAGTAGAATTGAACGTGGCACATATGCTTATTAAATACACATTTTAAACAAATCAAACTAGGTGTGAAAAGAAGCGTCAGTTGATATAGTCTGATAAAGATTATTATAATGATTCAAAGTGGGAGGCTCCTGTGTTCTGAATATCAAGTGAGGATCCCTGGGATGGATAGAGTTTAGGAAAGAAAGGCAGAACAAGTAATATATTTCTTCAACTATTCTTTAAAGTTTTTTTTTTAAGGAAATAGATATTTATATTTTGTTCTTTGCTATATCTTCAGGAGGTAGAGTAGTATCTTGCTAATTGTAGGTACTTCTTGAGTATTGATTGAATGATTACCCAGTTTTTGCTAAGCACATGTTTTGAAGACTAAAATTGTATTTTTTGTTTTCTACTAACAGGTTTTATTGGCACAAAGGATTACTGGGTCAGAGCAATGCAACAATTGAATGGCATATTCCAGAGACTGCCCACCCTGGAATCTACAGAATAAGATATTTTGGACATCATCGGAAGCAAGAACTTCTGAAGCCTGCGGTTATCCTGTCATTTGAAGGCACTTCCTCCGCTTTTGAAGTTGTAACTACTTAGTGAGAAGCTGACAGTTATTTAAAGAGCAGCTTTACTCCGTGTGTATTATGCAACTGGTTTCACATAAGTGTGAATCACCATTGGGACTTCTATAATTGTCCCTGTTTGGGGACAGATAGTTTACTGCTGGGACAAAATCGTGTGTGAGTGTGTGTGTGTGTGTGTGTGTGTGTGTAAAATAAAGAGTAAGGGACCCGGAAGGAAGAGAAAGAATGAGAGCGTGAGGGACGATGTGTGTGCGTATGTGAGTGTGTCTGTGTCCCGTGTATCTTACTCCAGTAGCCATGCACCTTGGTCTTCAGCCTAAGCATGACTGCCCTTGAGGCCTTGTGATTATTTAAGGGACAGTTCTCTCCAATATGAAACCTCTGAAATGTTAGTGAGAATGTTCAAAGATGTGTGAGTAATGTGTAGCCTGTTTATTTATAGAACTATTGAATGGGAAACGTTTGTAAAAATTGTCTAGATTGGAGTTTTATTTTACAGACTGGAAAAATGAGGTTTTGTGGAGTTCAGATTCAAATAAGCTTATAGCACCCCCCCAATGCATTTAAAAAGTATTACATAACCTTGCCATAAATATAGAACCTTAATTAGAGAAACAGAAAATTAGCATGTCAGTTTTTTGTGCATTCAAATAAGTATAGCTCTTCTAAGTAGTCACTGGTGTTGGTATGCCAATATAGAGTTGATGCTCAAATCATTTCTGGAATTACCTTCAGACCCCAATTATGAGAAGTCAGACTTCGAATATTTTGATTATGCCTTGTATTCCCTTAAGTGTCCTTATTCTAGAAGATTATATCTGTTATTCTCAAGATTTACTCTGTGATTTTTTTTATTGGTTTTGCCAATTAAATTCACCCCAAACCACAAAGCTTTGCCATTAGTGTAGATTTTAAAATGAGGGTTACTGGCTGGAAAGCAGTCCTTAAAGAGGAGGTTCAAAGTTTATTTTTCTGTTCTTTTATTACCTACCATTTACTCGCTTGTGTGTGCATGAATCTACTCAGTCATAGAATATTCATTAAGACTTAATGTCCAGCATTCTACTGGTGCCTGGTCTTGATAATCAGTGAGGTCACATTTGAGATGAATGTGTGTAAAAAGGTGAATTTTTTTTTTTTTATCGGTACCGGGGATCGAACTCACGACTGCCTGCTTGCAAGGCAGACGCTCATGCCGCTGAGCTAAATCCCTAGACCCAAAGTGAATATTTTGAAGGAGAAAATATTTGATTTAATATGTATGATAGCAATATGATATTTTAAAACATGACAGTAAAAGATGCATTGCAATTATGTCTCCCATCACTCTTGCTGCTTTCTGAAGTAGTCTTGGAAATTTTTCTGAAGTGATTTTTACATTTTGTTGCACTGTCTTAGTTGCCTAGATGTCCTGAATCAATTCTAAATGTTTACCTGTCATGATTATTTTGACTTTAAGAAAGAGCCAGCACTTAAACTGTGCCAGAGCTAATGAATAAGGCAGAGGAGGACGCGCCGTGTTTTCACAAGCCAGGCTTCCCAGTAGATGGCACTTGGTAGCAGCATTCACTGTACTTCTGATCACACCTTGAAGATGTGGAAGAGAATTTCCAGACCTGCTTTTAGAAAGTAGCCAAAACAGTGGGATAAATGTGTTTACAGAAAGTAAGGGTATTGGAGGGGAAATAAAGGCAATGTGTCTTCTACTGTAATAATTCTTTTAAAATTTAAATGCTTACCATATTTTTGCTCAGTCCTTGTATAAATTCTAGAGAAACATGTGAAACTCAGTAATGTTGCAGTTACATGCTATGCATATTCAGTGTTGCATACTGTAACTTTGGATGAAAAGGCTCCAGACAGTGTGATAAATACTGTTGTCAAAGTCACTTGGGGGCATTACGAATGACATAGCTTAGTATCTCTGTGAGTGAGATATGACAATCTAGTATCAAAGGTCTAAAAGTACTAGTTGTATTTAAAATTATCTAGGTTAACTAGGAACTTCCAAAGTACAAAGCATATTTCTAAACCCCACGTTACACTTTTTTAAAGGCCCATGTTTGTAGTACATAATGATTGCATTCTTCATGGGGAGTAGGTACGTGTATATAATGTTATCTTATTATTTTTTTATTTCCTTCTCTTCCCCTTACTCCATCTCATATGAATGTAAAAGCTTTTGCATCTTAGGTGGAGAACCAACCTTTATTTCAAAACTAAACTCTAAATTTTGATATTACGTTAATGTAAGAACACTTACGTTCGGTTATGTATGACTTACACTTAAAAATGAATTAGAATGTACCCGGGATACTCTTTGGAAATCACTATTTCAGACAGTGTTTCTATGGAAGTTAACTGCTGAAGATTATTAATCAGAATTTCCAAGGTTTGTGATTATTTTTCCTAAAGACTATCACTGTATTTGTTATAAAAGTTTAGGGGCCTAAAAAAAGCAAATATTTCTGCAATCAGTTGATTTCAAATCCCCTTCCTCCCAAATTATATATAACAAATTATATGAGTGTTTTAAAAAATGCTTCTCACTATTCAGAAGAATTTATTAATGGCTTTCATTTGTTTGTTTTATTTGTGTGTGTGTGTGTGTGTGTGGTTATGGGGATTGGACTCAGGTCCTCATCCAGGTGAGGCAGATGCTCCATCACTGACCCACACCCTGCCCAATGAATGATTTCTATCACCTTCTTTCCTTCCACTGAAATACTCTTCAGAAAGCCTGCCTATTATTATTCTCTTTTGCTCACTGGCAACTGTACTAAGGTGACTGTTGTATTTCCTACTGAGCATTCAGCCCTCTGTAGACCTAGAGCCTTGGTCTCAAATAACACACAGAAATTTATTTTCTCATTTGCTGTCATTTCTTTTAGACCATGGAATTCTACTTTTGTAGTATCCAAAAGTAAAGCCAAATCTCTGCCTTATAAACACCATAGTTACTTATCCAAGCATAAAATTAAATCAAGGGCCTGATTTGATCTATTAATCTAAAAATATAGATCTAGTCTATGCTTATTGCTGCTGTTGGGAATGGCTCTCCAGAGTCAAACCAAGTGGAGGAAACTCCTAAAAATGCTAGAGAATGTGCAGATGGTGGGGTGGGTTAGTGGGAAAAATTTTTGGAGATTTTGTTTCTCAGGACACAGTGTGTTTTATTTCTTGTACGTCTGGTTTCAAAAATACTATGACTTCTTCAAAGACTGCTGAATGATTCCTCTTTCATGTCTATATTTTTCAATGCATGCCATGTAAAATTATCAATATTCAATAGAATATTTAATAAGTTAAGAATTATACATAGGAAAGTATTTTCTAATGAGAGGTAAGGGAGACAAACAGATACTTTTTTAAAAAAGAGCTAAGTTGGCTAGTTGATTGCATGTGATTAAGATTGGAGAGTGATACAAATAAATAACTTCAGTAAAAAAAAAAAAAACAATTGAATATAAAAGAGGTGTTTCTTCATCAATTCTTTCCCAGACTCTGAAGATCTACTGCTAGTGAAGCAAAAATGGTTGACTTTCTGTATACTACTTTGGCAAGTGAGTTTCCTAGTAGGGTAGCTAATTATACAATTATTTTGTGACCTAATTGTGAACATCCTTTTCCAATGTAATACTACAAGTCATTTTCTGACTTTAGCATATAGTTTTTATCGTTAGCCAAATAGTTTTATCACTAGATGGTATCTTTTATTTAGTGCTTCCAAGTGATGTTTGTGGTGACCAGGTATCAAACATGACTTGATGGCTTATCCTGGTCTTTGAATGTTCAGAGTTATATGATACCAGAGATGGGAGCTCACATTTTCTCCACACGACTAAGATACACTCTATTGTAAATCACCAAATATTCTTATTCAACAGTGGTCCAAATGGCAGAGATATTTTTAGTCTCATTATCATGGTAGGTCTTGAGGTGCTAAATCAAGTTGGTACAGCCATTTGGTGATGTAATTCATGTTTTTCTGATTATATTGACTTTAATTCCTTGGCCTCAGTTGGAAGGTAGCTTAATGCAATTAATGCAGAAGAAAAATAGGGGAAAAACATGCTTTGCAGAACCTCTTTTTGGAAAGTAGAAATAATTAATAGGAACACTAGAAAAATTTCTTTTTCATTTCCTTGTCAAGAACTGTGACATATAGAAAGTCCTAGTTGTAAGGGAGGCTTAGAAAGAGATTACATGATTTTTTTTTCTGCTTTTGTAGCTGGGAGTCAAGTTCTGAGAGAAAAAAAGAAGGGATAGAGCAAGTAGCTGTTATAAAGTGTGTCGGTCAAGATAGATTAGTTATGCTTCAACCCTTGAGATTTAGTTCTTGATCCATGACGTACTCACTGTGGTCAGCTGGAGGATCTATGCAATCTCACCCGGGACACATCCTGGGAGACTTTCCCATTTAAAGCATGGTTTTATGATTGGGGTCAGTGGACACTGAGAAGAGCATCAGCTCTTGAAACTGCTACAAGAATTTTCAAATTTCATTTGGATCATCCCTATATACCAGAATTAATATACTAACTTAATTTTCCTTTGAAATACCTGAAACTAACTTACCCTAGGAAACACAGTTTAGAAAAGAACATATCTTTGAACCAGATAATAGCAAAGAATTTCACCTATACTGCAAAATGTATGCATTCCTTCAACAAGTTTATACTGAGAGTCTGTGCAATTTAAAGCTGGCATTATACTAACCCCTCGGGATGAAACAGTGATGAAATCACAGCTATTTGATGCCATCTGGAACAACTTAGAGTTTAATGTGCAAAACACAGGTAAACAATCAGTTACTGTACACAGTGAACCATATTGCTAGATCAGAGTCTCAGAGATGGTTTTGGAGGAGTCATGACAGAAGAAATGACACAAATTAAGGCTTAAGATATATGCAGAAATTAGCTAGAAGAAGAGCAATATTGTGTGTATGTATGTATGTGTTCATATGTGTTCAGGCACATGTACAGGATAAATAGGATGTTTTAGATAAAGGGCATATGAAGCAATTTGGGGAGTCCGTAGAAAGGAAGAGTGGTCAGAAATAGTACCGAATTTGCATTCATAAGTAGCAACACTGTTTTATATTAGCATTAGGGTTTCCTCTTGAGACTGTCCACCTGTAGCATAAATGTCCTTGAATATGTTTGTCCTTTGGTTTACTAGTTCAATAAAACATCATTTACAAGCAAGGAAACTGATTTTGTTTCTCAGTTTCCATTGATATTGAACTGAACCTCCTGTCTTCATAGATTATAAGCTTGTCTCTTTAAACTGAATTTTTAGGAGACTTCATTTGCTTCTGTCTCCCTCACGTTTCCAAATCAATGATTTCTTTTTTCATTTTTATACCTACTATTGATAACTGGCAAGTATAGCCAATGAAGACCACTTTCTCATTTGAAATGAAGTGCAGAGTTCCAATCTACCTTGAAAAATATTTCTAAATAATAGAAAATTTAGTCATCCACATAAACTGACAATTCCAACTTATTAGAGACCAGGCTGTGTTGATTTTGTTTCTACATGTGTCTTAGGATAGTGAGCAAAGTAGAAGCCTGGGGATATTGGCTCACTACTAGCTAGCGGAGACAGGAGACCTACCAACCCACTGCTTGGATCCAGGAATCTGGACATATTTACTTGCCATATCCTCTATTTTAATATAGTTCTCTTATTTAATATAAGAGATTCAACTTTTACTCCAGATCAGAGAAGCAAACAGAACATAAGAACTTAATATCCTGGCAATTGCAAGGTTAGACAAAAGATCTGTAACATCCCCTAAATGGCCAGTGGACTGGGATATAATGCAGAGAAAGACATCTTTATGTGCTACTTCCAGAAATTAACATGTGTGTTTTACTAAAGTTGATGTCACCATCATGAGGAGAATATACACTTTGGATGTTTTAAAAAATGATGATGTTATTGTGCTGACACATTGCCTCCCCTTTATCAGCTTCTCTTATCTTCAATCGTGCAAAAATACAAAAACAGTCTTGTAGAGACTGAGAGGTAGGTAGCTTGAAACTATAAAATGTAAATGCATATAAAGTGGAAGGAAAAATATGAGTTTTAGAAACTGGTCAAGTTTAGATTGAATTACTGCTGTTATCCTAAGAAGGTTACTTATTCTTTTGGTGATAGTGTTAAAAAACATTCTTTGATTTCTAATAATAATAGTGAAAGGAAAGTATTCTGGAAGTTAACTGGTTCAAATCTTAGTCCCACCATTTAATCACTGTTAGACCATAAATAAACTTTGTAATGTCCAGTTCCTTCATTTCAATTTCTTAATGTCTAAAAAGAAAATGACAATTATATTTATCCTTTTAGACTGTGAGATTAAAATAAGGTAAAGTTGTTGGCACAATGTGGATTATATAGAGCTACTTACTTTACTAAGCTTTTAATTGAGTTAGTTGATATATAAGATAGTATTTGGAAAATAATAACAAAAAAATTTCTATTGAGAACTGAATCATGACTGGTCCCAATGACACTATGCTTTCCCTAATCTTTTTCAAAATTGTGTTTTAACATTTCTAGTTCTAGTATAGGAAAAAATCAGAATGAGAAGAGAACAAAAGTTGTTAGAATAGTGTAAACTAAGCAGTAACAGAAGTTGGAACTAGAACCAAATCCAGAACATGAGGTGTATACACAATGAGATCTTTGCCTAAAGTCAGGTTGGTTGCCTCTGGCAATAAGGGAGCTACAGCTGCCACAGCTCTAAGGCAAGTGGGCCATCCCTTTGCTGCAGTGTCTAATTCATGGCTCAGATGCCCTATAGGCTGTTGAGCAGGTCCTGGATCTTGCATAAGCACTCCCAAAGCCATGCCTTGCCTCTCATCTACATATAAATTGAAATGGTATCCTGTGGGTAGGCTCAGGGATGGGGCATACAGAAGTGCTTGTTTAAGTTTCTGGAATGTAGTTTGGGAATCAGGTTCCCAGCATAAAATATAGGTATCAGCCCTTGGGTCTCTTTTATAAAAAGATAGAGGGAGGGGTCATGCAACTTCCCCATAACCGGGTATCCAAAGGCCACAAAGGCCTAGAACCCTTAGGAATTCCCTTAGCTGTTTTAGAGTTTTGGGCTGTGGGAAGGAAAGAATGGGTTTAATTCTTTCTTTTCCTAGTTTTGGATTCCCTTGCATATGATGAGGCCTAAATATTTCACCTCAAGACTGCAAAGTTGTGCCTTAGATTTAGAAAACTTATAACCTCTGTCTGCTAGAAAATTTAGCAGAGCACAAGTGCCTTGTTTACAGAGCTTTTCTGAGGGGGCACAGAACAGTATAAAATCTATATATTGCAAGATCATGACCTGGGAAAACTCAAAACATGCCAAGTCATGGGAAACCACATTTCCAAAAAGATGTGGACTATCTCTGAATCCTTGGGGGAGCACAGTCGATGTCAACTGAGAAGCTTGGTCCTGTGGATTTTCAAAAGCAAAAAGAAACTGAGAATCTGTATGTAAAGGAATGCAAAAGGAGGCATCTTTTAAATCTTTGAAAACTTTAAATCTTTAAATCTTTGAAAACTAACTAAC